AATGCAATCACGGATAACAGTTGAAGATTCATCCTTATCATTTTGTTCTTACCTTTGATACAAAAAACATCCTCTCACCTAAATCACTCCCAGCAATTACGCCACCATATTGTTTTCCAATTTCATCGATTTTTTTTTCACATCCTTTTAATTTTACAATATCATGACCATCAATAAGTATAGCGGCCAAGCACATTTTACCAGCTTCCAATTTCTTTATTTTTTTCAGGTAATATTTTTTGATTACTTCTGAGAAAATTGATTTGATAGTTGGTGTCGCAGTATTAAATGCATTCACAAGCTGTAATCCAGGTTCATCCACCAAACGTGCACCGCTAAACTTTATAATATTCTTTTGCGCAATCTCGCGAAGAAATAACAGTCCATTTTGAAATGATGGAAAATAGACAGAAACATAATAATGTTGAGGAGCAAAAAAATGAATTTTAAGTGCCAATTCGGTGATGACGCCCAGTGTACCTTCTGTACCGAATAGTAATTGAAAGTTAGGACCCGAAGAAATTGGGGATGTATGCATACCACTTCTTTGTATTGTGCCTAATGGCATTATAGAAGTGTTAGTTATGTAACAGATTACGGTTTGTAAAAACGATAAAGACTAACCTGCAGGGGTGACCATCTTGAAATTTATAATGCTATGTTCAAGGTCACCGTTCATATTTCTTTTGATATCATTTGAACGTAGGGAAGCAATACCACCAACAGTACAAAATTCTAACTAAATCACAATAATCTATCAATTTTTTTCTTAATAATTCAGCGAGTAAATGCTATGAAATGTTTAAATGCAAACCATTTCTGCGTCCCATCCTAAAGTAAAACCCCATTTCCGCAATTCTTTCTCGAGGTCTTGGGCAATAGCGCCGGCTTCAACTACAATATACATATTTTCTCGACTCAATGATAAAATCCTATTCATTTGCCTCATGTCTAAAGAGACTATCATTCTCTTTTCATTTTCTTCAGGGCACTCCAAAGCATCAACGTCATTTGAACCACCACCATACGGGATACAACCAACATTAAATTTAAGAGCGGCTCGGACAATGGTTTCTACTTGTTCGTGGCTTTCTGGCCAAACTACCGCGTCGGGTATTCGAGCCAAATTCCCGTGTCTAAGCTTATAAATTTCAGCAGTACTAATACCATGCCCATGCGACAACCTGTCTTGCTCGGCAAATGAAATCATAATTCCTTGAGGTTTTATTGCGTCATAAAATTCATGATTGACATTAGGGCTAGCCAGTTCAATAATATTGGGCTGAGCCGGACACACAGTTTTCAAATTTATTCGAAGTGTTTGTTCAAGCCATGGGCGAAGTTCATGAAATTCTTTAGAACTAAAATTTGAATAGCGG